TCACAGTGACTCGTCTTCACACAGTGTAAAGGAATTTTTCACAACAGTCCCAAGTTTCCCTGCAAAACTCCTAGCATGTCCCACCTCACTGGGACAGCTAAGCTGGCCTTCAGATGCCAGGCACACACACCTTCACATACACATGTACACACACACACACACACACACACACACACACACACTTTGGCTGGGTTTATTGCGGTAAATAAGGATCAGGATAAACAAATAGGCCGAATAGATGTTTATTCAGGGAGAAATAACTTACAACCTAGACAGATGAACACCAGGAAATTCAACCCGATCCTCTCCTGTCCGAGTCACGCCAGAAAAAGAGAGCGCCTTCCAGGCCCCCTCCGACCACCTTCCACAGGTCACCACCGCCCATCGCTCCACCCCCCCAATGGGCGTGGTCAGTGCTACAGAAGGACTACCTCACTACAATTCCCCTTTTAGTCTAAAGAAAAGATTTAGGCTTAATACAAAACTATATACAAAACAGTGAATAACAAGTGTGCTCTAAGAAAAGGAAAATCGAGAACAAAATGACCTACATATCTAGTCCTAGGGTGAGGGCATAATGGAGTTTACAATAGAGTTGTCCTAAGCTGGAAAACGTAAGTCTAGTACCTAATATATCTAACTAGGAAGAGAGAATAATAGTTGTGATAGTTTAATCTTCAACCTCATCAAGACCTGAGAAGGAAATTAACAATACTAGAGTAGACAGGAAATGCGGATGGACAACTTCCAAAAGGTGCAGCAAGGACAGAAACAGCAAGCCACCTGAACAGTCACCCTAGGTCTCACAGCGACGTTGGTACACCCAGATTTGGCTAAGGCCAAGAGAACTTGACAGACCACAACAACAGCAGGGAAATAGAATGGCTGTCTTACCCTGACTTGGCAAGGTCAAGCAGTCTTCTATATTTGTCTCCTGCAAGCACATAGGACTGCATGTCCAAATCAGTGGTCAAGGTGGGGGCAATTCTATGCCCAACAGGCCATTAGCTGAGGCGAGATTGAACTCCAGCAGGAGCAACAACAGTGTCCAACATATTTTCGGGAAAGTGCACGGTGCTGTCAGGAGCAACAGTGTCTCATGTCAATGGAGTACTAATATTAAAACATTTAAATGCCATGTTCTGCATGTCTATGAAGTGATTGAAGATTAAGCATCTATATCTGACTAATCTCATAGGTACAGGAAATGTGAGTGAAGATGATCTGTAATACTCGGGAGCTTAGCTAAAAAGACTGATTAAAACTTTCCTGAGTAAAGCAGGAACAGGGGTTTACTTATTTTGGTATTTTAAGATAAGGTTTCTCTGTGTAGTCCTAGCTGTCCTCAGATTCACTGAGATCCACCTGCCTCTGCTTCCCAAGTGCTGGGATTAAAGGCGTGTGCCACCACAGCCTGGCATGTTTATTTATTTGTATGTGTTTAAAGGACAATTTTCAGAAATCAGTCCTTGTTGCCATGTGCATCCTGCAGGGTCACACTCGACTCTAGTGGCAGAGCCTCTATTCAGCTGGGCATAGTGACACACACTTTTAATCTCTGACTTAGAAGGAAGAGGCAGGTGGATCTCTGTGAGTTTGAGGCTAGCCTGGTCTACAGAGTGGGTTCCAGGACAGCCAGGGCTTCATAGTGAGAGCTTTTCTCAAAAAAAAAAAAAAAAAAAAAAAAAAAAAAAAAAAATCCTTTGCCCTCTCTGGCCAGCCCCATTTTTAAATTTTTTATTACATCTCCTTATTTATTTGTGTATGTTTATATGTATACATATCACTTGATACACGTGTGGAGGTCAGAGGACAGCCTGTGGAGCTAATTCTCTCCTTTTTTCACCATGTGGGTCTCAGGATCAGCCTCAGGTCACCAGGGTTGGCAGCAGGTGCCTTTACCCACTGGGCCATCCCAACACTTCTTACATCCATGTGTACACATGCACAAAATAGAACGTGGTGTGGTAGTGTGTAGTGAAGTGTGTTGTTTAAACGGAGAAAGTGTGGACTGCGGGTTTGTGATGGTTAATGATGATTGTCACCAGAGACCAGTGTCTAAATGTGCTTGTAAGTGGTTCCCTGGGTGGGGTTAAACCTAGCCTAAATGTAGTGATACCATTCCATGGGCTGGGTCCAGGAGCACTTCCTGTCTGTGGATGCAACATGACCAGCTGCCTCAAGCTTCTGTTCCTAGAACTGCCTTACCATGCTGGGCTGTGCCTGCTGTGAGCCAATAAAAGCCCGTTCTCCTTTAAGTTGTAAAGTAGTTTGTCCCTGAAATAACACAAGTCACCAATACAGCTGTTAAAGTGAGGAGGGATTGCACATGGATCCACCTCCCCAGCAGAACAGCCACTGGGAAGTCACATCCTGGAAACACTCCAGTGCAAATCCACAGGGCCACACCTTGTACAATGTTCCAGGAAGAGAGCCTCAATCCTTGGTTGTGGGATATTTTGATCACACTCTGACATTCCCGAGACTGCCTGATACAGTTATCCCTTCAATCGAGGGGGAGGGGCAGCAACTAGCTGGTGGAATTAGCCATAGAGAAGCCAGCAATTTGGATAGAGAAGACACACAGGAAGAAAGGGGCAGGGAAGAGTTTGGGCTTCCTCTTCTCAGTACTGGGATGAGGGAAAAGACATGTCTCTTGTGGTGTCTCTGACCAAGAAACAAGGTCAGCTAGCTGCTACTCAGCCTCTCTCTGAGCTAGCAGATTTTCACCCCAGCCTTTGACTTGTGAGTTTTATTGATAAATTGAATGATAGAGATTTAATTTAAGCCTACATATCACGGCCACAGCAGAGCCAGGGCACAGGGACTGGAAGCTCTAGCCTTAGTGGCCCTTGGGGCACTGACAGAGGGGCTGTGGGGTGGCAGACAATAGCTAAACTATCAGTAGATTCATGTGCAGCCACTAAGCCGATGGGAAAAACATGACTCCATGTGTATACCTGGCCTGGATTCAGTCTTTTGCGCCTCTCAAGTCGTTAATTTCTTAGAAATGACCAAGTCTGAAAGACACATTACTGTCCCGTTTGACCAGGAAACTGAGGCCCCAAGAATGACAGCGACCCAATAGAAGACCACAGTTAAGTTGGTGAGAGGTTAAGACACTAAAGTTCTGGCCTGGAGGACTTTTGTCTTTTTTTATTTTTATTTATTTTTTCCTGAATGTAAGGCAATGTGTGGAGGCAAGGGTCACACGTTGCTGGGACAGTGAACTTTAGTCACCAGCAGCAGAACTGGTGATAAACTTGGATGATAGCTGGAAACTTACAGCCTAGTGAAGCATGTGGGGCCACAGTTTCTCCAGTGCAGACGCCCCAGGTCTGGGCAGTTTTGTGGGCTCTGGCTCTCTTCATCCTCCAGTCTGGGCTCAGAAGTGAGGAGCTGCCTTGCAGGCCAGCCTGGAGTCAAGCCTCAGCTCTGACTGTGCTGTATGTAGGGAGACTATGGGAGAGCCCTTTACTCTTCTGGCCCTGTCTTTTCTGTAAGACTGAGTGATGATCATTAACTCTGTTGTTCCAGGACACAAAGAAACCATGTATGCATCTGATAACAAAGAAGTTTAAATTATTTGTTTTCATGTGTATGTACGTACATGTGCTTCCTCATGCATACAGTGTCCTCCAACTCCAGAAAAGGACATCAGATCCTCTAAAGCTAGAGTTACAGATGGCTGTGATCTGCCAAGTAGGTGCTGGGGATTAACCCCAGGTCCTCTGCAAGAGCAGCAAGTGCTGTTAGCTACTGAGACATCTCTCCAACCCCCAGCAAAGACGCTTAGGAGGCCCAGTCCCTAACCCAATTCCAGAAGTTCCAGCTGGAATGAAGCAAGGGCCATGCCCATCCTGGCACTTGATGTAACCCAAAGCCAGGGGCTCAATGACAGCGAAAATCAGCAAAGCTCCTACCATGTGTCCTATTGTTTCTACAGTTAACCCACAAGAGACACCCTTACATTTAAAAATATTTACAGATTTGTGTTTATTATTTTATGAGAGTTTTGCCTGCATGTACATCTGTGCACCACATTCGTGTCTGGTGCCCGAGAAGGTGGTGAGCTCTCATGTTGGTGCTGGGAATCAAACCTGGCTTCTTTGCAACAAGTGCTCTTAACCACTTAGTCAACCTGGCCTACATAGTGAGTTCAAGGACAGTCAGGGCTATACAATAAGACCCTGGTGTGTGTGTGTGGGTGTGTGTGTGTGTGTGTGTGTGTGTGTGTGATTTATCTGGTTTTTCACATTCACCTGTATGTTGTCTGTGTTATAGTATGTCACTTGCCCCAGTGGAGGTCAGAGCACAACTTTCAGGGGTCCTATGGATGGAACTCAGGTCATCAGGCTAATGGCAAGTGACCTTACTGGCTGAGCCATCTCATTGGTCCCTGCAATTTCTTTCTTTTCTTTTCTTTTTTAACTGTTTTTCCTTATATCAGGGGACAAGAATTGTTATCATTGGTTTTCCAAGAAGAAAACAAGGACATCTACACACACACACACACACACACACAAACACACACACACACACACACACACACACACACACACACACAACCACTACCACTTACTTGCTCAACGTGGACGACAAGACTGAGACCCCGGGCTTTCTTTGCAGGGAAAGGAAGCCCCAGGAAGGAAAGGTGATTGGTCTGAAATCACACTGTAGATTAATAGCAGACCCTGGTCCTCCAGACAGTGCTTTCAACACCCACAGATGCCCGCTTACTCCCAGCTTTCATCCTGGGGGACTTTTCGCCTGGATGCCCCCTTCCCCGGTCTCAATGATCGCTGTGGACACCCTTACATCACCACCCTCAAGCACGGGCAATGGCGACCTCTTGAAGCCTCGATTTCCATCGATGGAATGGGCGTGCGAGGGAGACTGAGGGCGACTTGGCGCCGGGCACCTGGCTCCGCGGCAGGGGCGGGGCTGTGACTCAGCCGCACAGTCTCGGGGTCGCCCAGCCGGTCAGACCGGCCTCGGCAGCGCGCGCGGGGCGCCGGGCTGGGCGGCTCAAGCGGTGCAAGGGAAGGAGGCCGCCGGGTGCCTGCTCCGGCGGGAAGAGGAGCGCAGGCCGTGGGTGAGCAGGATGGGAGCGAGACCCCTCTGACGCCGGCTGAGGCCACTGGCTGAGAGCGACATGTGTCTGCGCATCGGTGAGCTGGGGCTCAAGGGAGGCCCATTCCTGGGGGGACCCAACCCGAAGCCAGGCCGCCTGCTCCATCCCTCCCTGCCTCTCGTCCGAGCCTGAGGCAGGTCACTTCACTCTCAGCCCCAGTTTCCCCAGAAGCAAGATGGCAGTGGGGTGACAAGTGGCTAGGTTTTATTTGCTTTTTAGGTGCGGGCTAGGCAAGTGCTTTGCGGTGGAGCTAAACACCAGCCCCAAAGCACAAAGACAGCGAAGTTACTTAGGGCTTAACCTGGAACTCACTCTCGCTTTGAACTCTGAATCCTCCAGCCTCAACTTCCTGTGTAGCTCGGTCTCCAGGTTTGTGCCACTGAGGCCCAGCTCTGAGTAAGGGGCGTTTTGATGTGGCCGGTGGCACCTTCACCTCTTGGCTCTATTTTCCTTTCTAATTGATGAAACCAGGCTCCAGGGCCCGCAGATGGGAGAAGGGATGCTGGAGGTTGGAGATCTAGGGATCCGGGGACCAGGGCCTCGTGTCCTTAGCCTTACCAAGGGTCCCATTCCCATAGCCTCCTCTCACCTGACCAGACTGCCGGAATGGCCAGTCAGCCAGGATCACCGGATCACCCACAGAGTAGACTGATGCGCCCCTCCCCCACTCCATGGGCAAACTCTGCTGTTTGGGGTCTAAGGAGTCCCCACTCTTCACGTACAAACCCAGTTTCTCCTTGGTAAAATGGGGACAGTGGCAGCTGCCTCTTGCTTGACCAGGATGAAATTGGCTGCTGGTAATGAAGGCTTAGCGCTATTGCCAGCCACATTGCCCACTGCTCCCAGCATGGGAACTGAGAAATAAAGCCTACAACTGCCCTAGGGTGTTCTGACCAGTGCTGAGGCACAACCCCGGCCCCATGTGTGACCAAAGCCTTGGTCCAGAGATGTTTCTGTTTGTGAGTATCTGGGTTGCTCCTGGCTGATGGGTGGGTGGATGGGATGGGAGGATGGGCTGGGACTTCAGGTCCCTGTATCAAGGCTGTAATCCTCTTCCTGTTTGGCCAGCTGTTCATCTTCGTGCTTTCCCAGCCCCTGTTCTGTCCTCTGCTGCTATGCCAACTTCACAGCCTGCAAGCTCTAGGGGAGAGAGCCCACCTGACTTTATGCATGGAGAACCCAGGGCCCAGAGGGGAGGAGGGCCTGGTACCTCTGTAACTGGCTAGACAGGCTCCTCCTTTTTCCCCAAAACTGCCTCTGTGTGTGTGTGGGGGGGGTGCTACTGAGTTTAATTAGGAGTACGAGGAGGCTTTTTACTGGAACAGTGGCTACACCACTGAATATATATATATATATATATATATATATATATATATATATATATCAGAGTCTCACTCTGTAACCTAAGTTAGCCCTGAATTGACAGCAATCCTCCTGCCTCAGTCTCCTGAATACAGGGATTATGAGCCACTGATCCTGGCTGCCTGCAATTGCCCAGAGACCGTCTAGCTTAGTGACCCCCCATTTCTTTTTTCCTTCTGCAGAAGAGGTCACATACAGGGAGCAGAGCCAAACCTCTCTGCCACACACGGGGAACTGAGGTTTAGTAGGGATCCCAAAGCCAGAGCCATTGGGAGCAGCAAAAGGAGGAAGGGCTCTGCTTAGTTGGCAGATCGACCAGTTTCACAGAGCTGTTCACCCTGAGGGGACCTGAGGGTCTAAGCAGCCATGTCCTTGAGGCAAGGCTAACAGCAACCGGGGATGCTGTTGTAGAGAGCCACTCAGAAGAGAGAAGGGGAGCTTCCTGCTCTTCAGATGTGGTAGGACTCAGCACTTGGCCACTCAGAAATTGTATTTGTTGCCAGCCTCCCTTCTGGTCCCAGCCTAAGGGTCCCCAGGAACTTTCCCATGGGACTTGTCCACACTGAGAGACAAGGTCTCTCTTCCTCTTCTGGAGAGAAGTGGAGTCTGACAGCTGTCAGCAGGTTTTGTTTAGCAGCTATGTGTTAAGTGCATATGTGTGCCAGTCCCCATCTCCTAGACTGCCTACTGAGCAAAGCATGACTCCTGTCCAGTGCACCGTGGGCTCCTCGAGGCCCAGATGCTCCTGTCCAGTGCACCGTGGGCTCCTCGAGGCCCAGATGCTCCTGTCCAGTGCACCGTGGGCTCCTCGAGGCCCAGATGCTCCTGTCCAGTGCACCGTGGGCTCCTCGAGGCCCAGATGCTCCTGTCCAGTGCACCGTGGGCTCCTTGAGGCTCGGACACTACTTACTGGGCTTGTAGGTACCCTAGTGCACAGTACAAAGCAGACCCTCAAAAGATGTCTATACATGGGACAGATGGATGAATGAATGAATGATTCAGTGAGAAAATCATGCTAGATCCCTGAGGTCATAATTCACTCGTTAGCAGGGATAGCTTTGTATGCCACCTGTGTGCTTTTCCAACCTTAGAATCCAAGAACTTTCCAAGACCAACTGTGAAACTCTTAGAGACACCCAAAGCCTGGGTTTTGTCCTCTGGAGCAGGAAGAGCCAGCCTCACTGTGACCCTGACGTGTCCCCACAGGTGGCCTGAACGTGGGTGAGTTCCGGAAGGTGCTGATGAAGACAGGCCTGGTGCTGGTGGTACTGGGTCATGTGAGCTTCATCGCAGCCGCTGTGCTCCACGGTACCATGCTGCGCTTCGTGGCTGCCGCCAGTGATGCTGTGGTTCTACAGTACTGTGTGGTGGACATCCTCTCCGTCACCTCTGCCATTGTGGTATGGCTTGGCTGGGAGAGTCCCAAGCACTAACCCTAGGAACCATCTACCAATTGTGCAGGCATTCAAACTTTCTCTGCCTCGGTTTTGTCATCTGTAAAATGGGAATGGTGAGAGTGTCCCCCAGACGGCAGAGGTTCCTAGTGGGTATCTGAGGTCATCCGCAGAAGGTATTTGCCTTGGGGCCTGGCACACGGCTAGTGTGACAAATGTTTACAGCATGGTGGTTCAGAAGGAATGAACACCAGCCTCACTAGGGAGGGCCCAAAGGGTTTCAGGGAAGTGGAGATCTCTGAGCTGGGCATTAATGGAGGGGTAAGAGTTCCCAATGAACTGTAATTATCAACCCAGGTATGTGGCATGCTGAGGCTAGCAGGCAGCAAAGCATGCCATGGTGGCATTCCATATTCAGACTGGCAGGTGCAAATGCGTGGAGCTGGGAATGGCTGGGATCTGCTCTGGAGAGCTGAGCCAAACAGGCAGTTCAGCGCTAGGATGGACCTACGTGAACTGCCTGATAAGCAGCAGCCATGTGATACCTGGATGCCTGCCCGTTTGATGAACAACTAAATGAAAGAGCCTAGTATACTTAGGTTTATAAAACTCTTCTCTGCATGCCTGCTAAGGCAACTGTAGGCTTGGGGATAACCTGCTGAGTCCTGGCTAAGGTGTTTCTCTCTGTGTGTGCTGGTCTCTACCTACAAAATGAACCTCAGACAGCCTGCTGGCCCCCGGGTGCGGTGACCCAGGCTCTGACCTTTAGATGCACCAGCAGGATGAATGCTGTACTATGTCCCAAACGTTATCTGTTGCTCAGCAGCCAAATGAGGAAGAAAGACACGGAAGGTGGCCAGCCCAGGGTCAGGAGGCTCTGAACTGAACCTCTTCAACTTTGCTTTCCTTTCCCCAGTAAATCCTCATCACTTTTAGCTGCCCATGCCTGGGGGCGTTCACCCCACTTCCTGTAAGCTCATCATGCAGGGAAGGACTGAGCCCAGAGAAGTTGAGGCACTTTGTTGTGGTTTGCACAGTGAATTAACGCTACCACTACACATGTCCGTTACAGAGAGTGAACCTAAGAAGCTAGATAGGCTAAATGGAGCTAGTGATCTGGCAGGGAGGGGGGGAGGGGACAGGACAGCCACTGGGCTCAAAGGTGCCTGGGAGATTCTGTCTCTGGGGGTCGAGGGGCAATAAGATGTGTGTTCTTGGAGAGGATACTCTGTGGATAACAGCTATGATTGGGTGCCCATATCCAGTGTGATGAGGGAAGACAAAGGCCCAGGGTAGACTAGAGAGGGCCACAAACAGGTCATTAAGAGCCTGGGATAACATTAGATACTCCTAGGGGTTTCTTTGCCTTTTGTGGTACTCAGGGATTAAACCTGGACTTCAGGCATGCTAGACAAGCATTCTATTCCCAAACTCCACCCTCAGCCCCCTCTTAGAGATTCTGAGTTCTGTTCATAACGTGTCCTGTCTGTCTAAGATGGGGCTTCACTGAGACGGTGACCCTGGGGCTGGCCACCCTCCGTGCCTTCCTCGTATGGCTGCTGAGCAACTCACTACACTTAGCCACATAGTCCTGACTGAACTGGGATCATAGGCACACATGTCACTAGGCCTGATTTCTGGTTTAATATCATTTTGGGTTTCGTTCCTTGTTAGTGGAATACATTTCTTCCAAAGTCTTTTCCATGCCAAAAAGAAATAGCATGTGTATCCCATGGCCTTGCCCCTAGCGTGTGCCCGCAAACAGGATGCATAGGACCCTGTTACAGGAGACACAGCTTTAGGCAGTGTGGAGCCCTGGAAGGTTGTAGGCAGTGAGAGGTGATCAGGAGGCAAAGCCCCCATGAAGTCAGAGTTACTGAGGCTGTAGCCCAGCACAGGGTTGGGAGTGGGGGTTGCAGGAATGAGGAAGACATTGGTGGATCTTTACCCACGCGTGGGTCTGACCCCGTGAGCTGCATCACAGGCTTTGCAGCTGACTCACACTCCCCCCACAGGTCATCATTGCAGGAATTGCAGCTGTTGTCTTGTCACGATACCTCTGCAGCACCCCCTTGGTATGTGGCCCTTCCTTGGATGGGACTGTGGGCTGGGTCAGCAGCCCCATTGTGGCCAGCCAAGCATGATATCCACTGACCAGTGCTCTCCGTACCTAGCGCTGGACCGTGTTTAGCTTGAGTGTGGCCTGTGCATTTCTTTCTCTGACCTGCGCCCTTGGACTCCTGGCCTCCATCGCAGTGACTTTTGCCACCCAGGGCCGGGCACTACTGGCAGCCTGTACTTTTGAGAGCCATGAACTCCCAACACTGGCGCCTGACTGTCCCTTTGATCCTACTCGAATTTACGTGAGTGCCTCGGCCTTGAGATGGGGCTGGGAAGGGCTGTTGAAATCTACCTGCATCCTGTCCCTAAGTAGATGCTTGTGGTACCCTGCAGAGCTCTAGCCTGTGCCTCTGGGCCATCTCGCTCATGTTCTGTGTGGCGGAGAGTGTGTCTGCCATGCGCTGTGCCCAGCTCGTGCATCGGCTGCTGGAACTGAAGCCCTGGTGGGGGAAGAGCTGCCACCACACGGTGAGTTCCCTCCATAGTCCTGGGAAGTCCCTGTTGGGATCCCTGCCTGGTCAGCCCCACCCACCTCTGATAACTGGGGCAAAAGTTTGCTCACCACCACAGAAGGGCTCCAAAGTCCAGAGAAGCCAGATCTACCATCTAAGCTACACAGCTGTGTCTGGCTCTCCCATTCTTGAGGGGGAGTAAGAATTTTGGGTGCCAAACAGGAGACACTCAGGGGCCTGGTCTGTCTTCAGTGAGTGATAATAATGTCCTCTCCCATACCCCAGAAGCCTCTAGTCCTCCCTGCCTCCAGTTTGAGAATGTCCTAGCGATAGAGACCTCAGTCCAGACCCAGTGAAACAAGCAGGTTTCTGTGTCTGCAGATGCAAATGAGTCCAGAGCCCCTGGATGGCCATGACCTACTAAGCTGCGCCAGCTCTGTGCAGCTGACCATCTGACACCTCCATAGGGCTATGGCTACTGAGGTATGTGACCAAGCCCGCACTGACCATGGAGCCATGGAAGCCGAGATGGATCCAGGACTCCCAGAGCAGTCCCAAGAAGGCTCAATGGACCCTGGGGACCTGGGAGAGGGCTTTGAAGGCCCTCCCTGGCCACCCAGCACTCTGCACTGAAACAAGACTTTATTTTGAAGATAATAAAAAGAACAGAGATGCTCCATGTGCCGCATGCAGAGGGAGATGAGGGCTTTGCCAGGGGCTTGTGCCTTCTTTCCCACACAGAATGCTGTGGAGGGACCCTACCTGTGCGCACGCGCATACGCGTGTGTGCGTGCGTGTGTGTGTGTGTGTGTGCGTGTGTGTGTGCACGCGCGTGTGTGTACAAAGGCGCGCACTCGCATGTGCTCGTGAGTGGATGAAGGAAGGTGAAATACAGAGGGGTTAAATCTGTGGTCATCCAAATGCTAAGAGGCAGGCTGAGTTTGGGGACCCCCAGTTGGAATCCTGGGAGATCTGTTTTATCGTAGCCTCCAGCCAGCAAGAGCTGGGACAGGAAGTATTCTTCTGCTGGGAAGTAGATCAGGGAACTTCCCCAAAGCCCCAAGAATCACTCCTGTCTCCCCCACCAAACCAAAACATTCTTCACCTGGGCACCTCCCTATCTCCCTCCAGGCTGAGGGCCACCCGAGGGGGAGCTCTCCCTGCCCCCGCGTTGTGGAAGGGTCTCGGGGCTGTGGGTGGGTGGAAGGTGATCCAGCTGTCTGAATAAAGAATACAGAATAGGGACAGACCAACCAGAGGGTCATCTTGGTCCCACTAAGGGAGACTCTGTCTCTAGGGCCATGGGTGCTAACGGCTGTCTTGCTTAGCCCTTTCCTGGCAGGGTTTGCTTCTCCAGAGGCCCCCCACAGTGCAGACCCCAAAAAGGGGTCCCCAGTCTGGCCCCAGCCTGGATAGACACGAAGGAGAGGAAGCGGAGGGCCGGTGAAGGCAGGGAGGCTGCGAGCTGGTTCCTCCCCAGTTCAGAACTGGGAGGCGCTGCTGGGGTCGCACTGCAGCAGGCGCACGATCGAAGGGTCGCTTTTGGCCCCACGAATGAACTCTTCCAGTGACAGCTTGCCTGTGGGGTGAAGGGAGGACTATTGGCGAGGAGAAGGTAGCCATGAAACCAGGCAGGTGGTGTAGGAGAGGAAGGGAGGGAGGCCGCCCACCCCCATCCGGGACACTCACCGTCGTTGTTCGTGTCCATTTGGCGGAAGATTTTCTCAGTCCTCTTTTCCGGGGTCGATTCGTCCTCAGGCATCTTCATCACGGACGAAACCATCTTGTAAATGGCCTAGGAGGGGTGGGGGTCAGGAGGGGAGAGGGCATCAGGGAATGAAAAGAGCCGCCTTAAGGCTCCATCCCTATCTCTGTCTCTATAAACATCTCATGGTCATGCTCCTCTGACCATGGAGGAGGGAAGGAAAGTCTGGAAAAAGGCTTTCTAGAAGAGGGGTAACTGAAGAGTACCCTGCCTGGGGCAGGTCCCTTGGAGGGCCAGGTGAGAATTGCTGATAGAGATGATGAACAAAGACACTGCAACTTGCAAACTCCAGGCGAATGCCAAGAATTTGGGGTGCACAGAGTCAAGTGATGTTGGAGGACATTGAAGCCTAGATAGCAAAGTGCCTCGAATGACAAGGTATGTTTGGGGATAAGAGTTGAGCTAGAGCTCTCGCTTAGTGACCGACAGGGGGCGCTAAGCTGAGGGAAGAGGGCACTGGCCTGCGCTGTGGTCTGTGGCCCGCAGGGGGCGCAGAATGTCAATGCAAGCTGGGACCCAGAAGGGGCGGGAACATTATGCAAACGATTGCAAATGAGCACCTGCCACCGGGCCAGGGACAGCCTGAGCTCTGCTGGGCTGAGGGCGGAAGCTGCCACGTGTAGGTGCTCCAGAGGCAACACGAAGGAGAGTTTCTGAGCTAAATGTACAGAGCACGTAGAGCTCGGCCTGTGGGATGGGCTGTGTTTCTGCTCCCTGAAGTTCAAAGGCCAGACTAGTCACCTCAAACTTCCAACATTTTCACAATGGCACCTCCTCTAAGAAACGTTCTTTCTTCCCCATGCTATATCCCTCCCCACCCCCTTCGTGTCCAGCTTCGTCTCTACACTACGCCTTCCTAGCCTCTTTCCTTCAGATTTGTCCCACACACTGCCTCTGAACGCTCTTTCCAAATACAACTCTCCACTACCATGTCCCCAAACCAGCAGGCCACCCCCTCGCTTCCCGCACACACAGACCTCCCTCTAGGCCCACGGTGCACCAGCTCCTTAAGGGTGCTGCCTCCCACTCTTCCTTGGGGTTCGGTTTACAATGCTCCCCTAGCAAGAGCATCTGTGAATCAGCCAGGGTCAGGGCACATCAGCTGCACAGAGTCTGCTGGGCCCTTGCTTAGCGGACACCTCTCAGGAAGTAATTAATTCCCTAGAGGGTTATGCCTGCTTCCCACCATTCAGATAAGAGCAGTAGCCCCTGCTACTTCTAAGATTCCCAAATCCCAGTGCGGTGCCTTGGCACATGGCAGGGAACTCCCTGTTTAAAGGCCATTGTTGCCTCCCACCACCCTCTGGACCAAGTCCAAACCATTTGCTTTTGGCATTCAAGATACTTCCCAAACTGTCTAATGCTGGCCTTGACACCGCCAGGCCTTGCTGGAGGGACAATTCTGCCACAACTGAACACTCCTGGGCTTTTCAGATGCCCTGGCATTTACAGACTCTGCCTAGAATAATATAACTACCATTCATTTCTCATGCAAGCACTATGTGCCAGGTTCTATGTTCAGGGATTTTATTCTGGCTTGCTTTCTCTCTCTCCCTCTCCCTCCCTCCCTCTCTCTCTCTCTTCCTTCTTTCCTTCCTTTCCTTCTTTCTTTCTTCCTCCTTCTTCCTTTTCGTTTTGGTTTGGTTTGTGAGGCAGGATTTCTCTGCATAGTCCTGGCTGTCCTGGAACTCACTCTGTAGACCAGGTGATGTGTCCCCTACCTCTGCCTTCCCAGTGCTGGGACCAAATGAGTACACCACAGTACCTGACACACATGCAGGATTTCTAAACTGTACGTCAGCCCAGGAAAGCAGGTATCAAATCTCCCTTTTTCTTGATAGGAAACCAAGGTTTGGGAAGGGAATTGATGGGAGGCAATAGATCGGGCCTGCTCCCTCTTAGTTGTTAGAAAGATGCTTGGGCAGTTTGTAGTGATGGACAGCAGGAGCTCTGGAGTGACATCCTGGTCCATTCTGCACTTGCTGTGTACCCTTGGACAAGAATTTAGCCTCTCCGAACCTCAGTTTCCATCTGTAAAATGGAGTACTGTGTCTATCTTATCAGGATTGTGTGTACCAGTGGTTCTCAACTTTCCTAATGCCATGGTCCTTTAATACAATTCCTCACGTTGTGGTGGCCTCCCTACCACACAATTATTTTTGTTGCTACTTTATAACTCTAATTTTACTACTGTTGTGAATTGTAATGTAAATCTCTGTGTTTTCTGATGAAAAGTTCACTCAGAACTGCCCCCCCACAAGGGTTGAGACCCACAGGTTGAGAACCCCTGCTCTAGAGGATTAAATGGGATAGAAAACTAGAACAGTGATTGGCTGGAGTGAGAGACCACTAAACAGCAGCTTATATTGTCACCATGCATCCACTGTGACCTCTGTTTTTTCAGTCCCCAGGACTCCTGGATGTTACTTGTCTATACGTGTCACTGGCCTCATCAGTGTGGATGGTGCCTTAGTCTTTTCCATCAGGGTGGGAGCCCCAAGAAGCACACTGCCTCTTCCCTCCCACCATGCCACCAGCCAGTATAGGACTGGGATGGGACAATGACTGAGCAGTGACTTAGAGAATGGTCATTCTCCTTGTGACAATCCTTCTAATTAATTAATTAGATTAGATTAATTAGATTAAGTCTAGATTGCTCGCTCAGAGTTTCACCGGAGCCTACTTGTCATTAATCAGGCCCTGGGGTTCTCAGAGCTCTGTCTGCAATAGCTGTCTGGAGCCTCCAGACTGCCATAGAGGAAGTCGGGGTCTAGAGGGCAAAAGCTGGTGAAAACAGGATCCAGGGGTCCTTAAGAAATTGGTGAGCTTAACCACTGCACTGGGCATGGTGACTTCAGCAGAGCTGAGATTTACCAGTGTACAAGTGGGAAAACATGAGCATCTCTCTGAATTTATAGGTACCCAGCAGATCCCTAAACTATCCTCCACCACTATCTTGACCCTTCCAGCAGGGACCCCAAGAGTTCCCCATCATTCTGCCTCCAAAGAGGAGTTCATGGTTCACAGGCTTCTGGGACAAAAGCTGAGGCAACAAGCTCCTGGCATAGAGAACATATCGTTTGCCAAGGCAGCCATTCCACTCAAGCTGGAGGCTGAGATCCACATCTCCAGTAAGAGGGGTGCCAGTGGGTCAGATAAGTTAGAGCAGACATCAGCAGAGGTGCTGGAAGGGAAGGATGCAGAGATGCAGGAAGGGGCCTCATGCAAAGCTGTGTGGCAGCACTTCTCAAGGCATATCTTGAGGATGCTTACAAGGCCAGTGCACATGACGTATGGAGAAGGAATAAGGGACAGTCACTAACATTTGCTGAGTACCTACAAAGCCCCAGATGGAGTTGCCATCCCCCTTGATCTCTGTGGGAGTTTTGAGAAGTAGGGGCTTGACCCTCACATACATCATCACACACTGGTGGCAAGGAACAGGGTGGATAAAATAGAATCATAGCACTGGGCATCCTCAATGTTGAACAGCAGTGATTGGCTTTTTCAAAATAAGTCTAGTGTGCTTCATACTTAAATTTGTACTAAGAAAAGACATGCATGACAGGTCTCTAAATCGCTCTGTGCAATCAGCATCACTGTCCCTGCTCCAGTTTTACAGATGAGCAACCTAAGAGCTAACGCCAGCCCAGAATCAGAAGCCTCGTCTCCTGCACAGAAGCTCAGAGCCTTCACAAAAGGCATCTTGGAGAGGTGGCTGGGCTGGGCTCAGTCCCGCTTCTACATGTCAAGAAAGCCATTCTACCTGCCTGAGACTTGTGGGGCTACCTTAAGGATGCCCTCAGCTCGGGGGTCTGAGTGCCTCATGCAGTACTGGCTTGGGTGGTGCTTCCTTCAATTAGTCAGGAGACGGCTGGGTATCCAGATGGCATGTGAACATTAGAGCCAGGTGGCCCACTCACAGGCTGTGAGGTCCCCAGCAAGTGCCTTCTTCCACAGCATGTTTCCTCCTTAGTAAATGAGGGTCAATGAAACAGTGCTCGTGGGCTGGGGATGAGGCTCAGAGGGAGAGGACTCCCTGACAAGCACAAGTTTGATCTGAGCACTGAAAACAGATGAATGGATGAATGGATGAATGAATGAATGGGCATAGCTGGGTGTGGAACATAACTGGGCAAAGAGACACATATCTATAAGCCTGACCATGAGTTCAAAGTCAGTCTGAGCTACATAGAGAGACTTGTCTCCAACCAAATCAAACCAAGCCAAATATAATTTGTCTAAAGCAGAAATAGCAAGATGGGAAAGACAAAGCAAGATGGGGAACTATTTCAGAATAACAAAGATGGTCATAGTGGCACACCTTTAGTCCCAGCCCTCGGGATGCAAAGGCAGGCAGATGTCTGTGAGTTGGAGAGCATCCTGGGCCATAAAGCAAGTTCCAAAGCAGCCAGAGCTATCTAGTGACTAATAAAATTCAATGCAGGACCCCAGATCAAGACCAATAAATAAATAAATAAATAAATAAATAAATAAATAAATAAATAAATGAAAAGCTACTGATGACACTCTGAAGAAAGTGAGCAGTACCATAGGATCTGCATATGACAATGGCATTTTTTCTATGTTAAATGTCTTGACTTGGATAACCATGCTATGGGTTATGTAAGAGAATGCCTTATTATTCTTAGGAAATACATCCTTTACCTGAGGGGAGGGGTAAAGGGTCAATGCTGAGAACCCAAAAGCATGATATGCAGGCAGAGATAAAGCAATACCGGGAAATGCTAGCTGGTGAATGTAGCTAAGGATACAATAGGAACTTCCTTGGCTTTTCATTTTTTCCTTTGTTGTTGTTAGGTTAGTAGGGGAGGAAACAGGGTTTCCTATTGTCCAGGCTGGCCTCAAATTCATTTGGTAACCGAGGCTGGCTTTGAACTCCTGACCCTCCTGCCTCTAGCTCCACAGCAGTTTTAGCTTTCAGCTTTTCTTTAAATGGAAAAGCATTTCCTTCTAAAGGATTTTGTGAATGGGATGGGAAGAAGAGCCCCTGTCACCACTTGCAGACCAGGTGTGTTGAGAGGTTAAAAAGGGTGTTCTGAGCCCACGACTGAGAAGCCAGAGTCGGTGACGGCCCACCTGCACAATCTCCAGCATTTCCTCCCTGCTGATGTAGCCATTGCCATCCAGGTCGTACATGCTGAAGGCCCACATGAGCTTCTGCTCCAGGCGGCCACGCGAGGTCACGCTCAGAGCAATGATGAACTCCCGGAAGTCGATGGTGCCATCGCTGTTGGTGTCAAAAGTGCGGAAGACATGCTCGGCGAACTTGGAGGCATCGCCGTAGGGGAAGAAGTTGGCGTAGATCTTCTTGAACTCATCCACGTTGAGGATGCCAGTGGGGCAGTCCTTGAGGAAGCCCTTGTACCACTCCTGCAGCTCTAGCTCCGAGAACTCCGTGTTCTCCCGCAGATCCTGCAGCATCTCCGGCCTCAGCTTGCTGTTCTGCTTGCCCATGGCAGACGAGCCAAGTCCCACCTGAGTCCCCCCAAAGGAGGTGAAGGGACAGAGAGCAACGGTTTTGTCCTTTTGGTCACTTGACACCACTACAGAAGGGCCCTTAGACATAAGACATCCCAGATTCGTTTGACCCAGGAAGAGAGAGGTGGGCCCCTGATCACACAGCCTGCACCCTGCTCTGCGGCCTGCTTGTCTGGAGAGCGGACCGGAGGAAGAGGAAGGGGTTAGTTCACACTCACTGATGCCCTCCTGGCACTGCTCTCAAGTGCACATTTTCGCCCCTCCCAAGGAGACATCTGAGGATCAGCTCCATTTTCCACGAGACAGGAGGCTCAGGAAATTGAGATGATCTGCTTCAGGTCACAAGGCCACTAGAGGGTAGAGCTGACCCCAAGGTTTCCTAGAGGGTGCATAGCTTCTGAGCCCTCTTTTGTACCTGCTGCTCTCTCATGGTTTCCCAGATACCTGCTGACCCCGCAAAGCTCCTGCAGCATAGACACTGTCAGGTTCTTTTCCTGTACTCAACAAGAGGCACTAACCTGGACCCCAGAGTCAGATCACCCGAGTTCAAATCCCAGCTCTCCCTCTTACCAGCTATGTGCCTTGGACAATTTCCTTAAACTCTCTGTCTCAATTGCAGAGTGGGTTTAATAACAGTACTTACTTTGTAGGGGTATTGAGGGAATTAAATTAGTTAATCCTTGTGAGCACGCAGAAGCAGAACCATGGTTGAGTAGGCAAGTGCTACATACATGTTAAATGAGTAAAAATGATTTACATGTACCCAGGCTCCACAAGAGTCAGGCATGACATGCAAGTGCATGTCCCCAGCACACACAATGCCATACAGATCACTAGATGCACTCCTTAGGTTCTATGTCACTCTCCTACCATCCTACACCATACATGGGTCTCCAAGCCACCACATACAACAATCACGCTGACCCACAACTCACACGCACTGACACATGGCACCACGCGCAACTCCCATACACTGTGCATCAAGACACACCAGCCCACAACCCCACATGTCTCACACATGCCATCACACGCCAACTCGAATGCTGACACCTCTCACATGGCCAGCTGCACGTGGGACCTTCAGGGACCCTTCTCATTTGTCTCTCTATACTCAGGTGCTGCCAGGTCCCAGGAGAGGGAGCTGCAACCCTTCCAGACCCGCTAAGGACTCTTTTTCATGGAAAGCCCTTCCCTGCCCACCCAAACCTCCCTCAACACTCACCTTTTATCTGGTTTGAAAGGTCCCCTCAGGGCAGGGACTAAAGTGTGAGGCTGAGGACAAGCCGTTTGGGTGGATGGGGTAGCCAGGCAGTCCTAGACACAAATGTAGGGGCATGTGCAAAAGTGGCTCCTGAGGTTGGAGATACAATTAAGACAAGATAAAGAGGGCTCTTTGTGCATGAAGGTACATGAAGCTCTGTGCACATGTGTGTGGGTACATGTGGAATGCGTGTGCTCACACATGATGTGGATCCTGGGTTCTGCACCGCATCTGTCTCACTATGCGTCTCTATGCATGTCTGCACGTGAATTCTATATGCGTGTTGAGAGGTTATGCACCTGTCACAAAGAGAATAATGTACTCGGGATCGTGAGGAAACCTGTGTCTGTCCTCAGCAATGTGTCATGTATGTTCCTGTAAGTTGGTGCCCCCCCTTCTAGATCAGCATCTTCTGCCCCAGGCTGAAGCGCCACAGAACAAGTGTGTGGGAAGGGACTTAGGAAATGCGCAGGGTTGAGCAGGGGAGCATGTCCCTTACTCCCCTCCTCAAGGTCCAAGGAACTGGGTCAGCGGGGCGGGGGCAGAGCGATGCGCTGGGCAGAAGCGCTTCTCCAGGTGCCCCTTCCTCCCGGCCACCCTCGGCACTGCCTTTGCCAGCTGGTAGAAGGGTCTCTTTTCTCCTCAAAGACCCTCGGTGCCCAAAATAGGAGGAACCTCACAGCTCGATTCGAGAAACCCGCCCTGGCATCCCCTCCAAGCCTCCCCCGGCTCCGGCCCTGAGCCCCCGCCTACATCCTTCCCGCACTCGGTGCGAGGTCCCTCCTGGAGGGGGCGCCCGGGACGGACGGCGCGCGACTCCTGGGAGCCGGCCACTCGGCGGTCAGGACCCTGGAGAGCGCCGCGCGATCCCCCCGGGCAGCCCCCGGCTGGCGGCGCCACGGGTGGGAGGGATCCCACGAGGGACCGGGAGGAGCGGGCTGGGGAGTCCTGGACGTGGGTTCCTGGCTCCGGGGCTGCCCTCCCCGTATCCCCGGCCCCGGCCGGAGCTGCCCCCACTCACCCAGCGACGCCGAGACACCGACTGCGCAGGGAAGGCGGCGCTGCTGCGGCGCGCGGCGGCAGAGGCGGCCGGAGGGGCGGGCGGGACTGTGAGGGAGACGCCCCGCAGCGTTGGCCCGGAGCCCCTCCCCTGGGGGGGTCCCCACCAGCTGCTAAGCTCCGCCCCCGCCCCCGCCCGGGAGAGGGAACGGGACGTCCTCACTGCCCCGGCCCCCCCTCTCTCGGGAGCACCCCGCCGTGGGAAGAAGATCGGGACCCCCAGTTCTGCAAGTCGACTCGGGAAGACCAAGGAGGGAGGTGGATCAGTGTCCAGGGACCGCTCTCCTAAGCCGGGAACAATTCGGGGCAGCGCCACCCGCTTCCTCCCCACCCCTACCTGGGCGCGGGGCGGCCTGTCGCTCCGAGGGCGGGACCCGATAGGCACCCTCACTGCCCCCGCGCCTCAACTCCGGAGCCAGCTGAGCTGGGGGCTCTTTGGAGAGGCGGGAGCGCCCCTTCCACAGCTTCGAGGTCTTCCAGGGGCCAGACACGCCCCCCCTGCCTACCTCCGCCTCAGAGAGCACGCCCCCTCTCCAGCCTACTACTCCGGATGCCATGCCCCACCCCCTCTAAAAATTAGTCCCACCTACCTCCTACCATCAATGTACCTCGTTCTTTTCAGTACCCCTCCATGCAAGGCATCCTCTCCTCCCCCAGCCTTTCCGGGTGCAGGCCTATGACCTGAGAATGCAGAAATACGTCTCCACCTGGGGCGGGGGGGGGGGGTGGGGAGAGGGTGATTTCTGAGGTGGGTAGGCCTCTGGTCTACATTCAGGACAGCTGCTCTTTAGAGACCCTGACTGGGTCACAGCTCCTCTTGTCTGTACAGGAGGCTGCACCCTCCCTCCTCCAGCCCTGGTAACAATCCCTACAGCTTAAATTCTGTCGTCTCTCCATATCTAGGATGTGGGCATTCTTGTGTTCTGCAATGAAGGGTTAAACGCTTGTTCCAGTGTCTAACAGCTAGTGAGTGGATTGAATTCAGGGCCTCTCATTCATCCGTTTCAAAAATATTTGTCAAGCATTGCTTCTGCACGCCACACTGTTCCAGACAGTCGGGTTGCAGTCATGCAGAGGAGACAATGATAGAACATGCATAGTGTTAGATAAGCAATTTGAAGAAAGCTTGAGGCAGTGGCAAATCCAGAGCAATGGGCACTTCAGACTGCATTCCAGGTGAGACCAGGAGTCTTTGTTGTGTTGAATAGAGTGGGTTTGACATCCATGCAACAACTCACTGGAGCGTTATCCCAAGAAAAAAGTGGTACAGTGAACCTGGCTTCTGAACCTCCTTAGAAGGTGGAGTTGACAGCATTTGTCACTTCCTGGACAGCTCTTCCCAAAGTGTTCTCTCTACCTGCAGCTCAGATCGTTCTGGCTATCCATGACACCAAACAAAGCTCCCCTCTAGGCGTCTAGGCCTCTCAGGCTGCCAGTCTAGCCTTCGCCTCTTGTACTCGGAGGAAAAGAGGGGGTGTACATTGACAGAGCTGGAGAGCCAGACCCCGATGGAATAGGGACAGCTGGGCCCTTGGGAACACCGGCTCCACTGTGTGCCTTGGCTCCTGTGTTGGGACCCCCGGTGGAGGCGTTGAGAGACGCCAGATGAACGTGGGTGGTTCCCAGCTGCCTCCTTCAGGAAGACCTGCAGGCTGGTGAGAGTAAAGACTGCTTAGCCCCCACCCCAGACCCCTCCAACGACAGCCTCCCTCCCCTGGTGGGTCCAGAAGGACAGCCATGCTTGGGACATGGAAAGGAGCCAAGCCCAGAATCATCCCCTCTGCCCCCTACCATTCCTTTCCCTTCTCTCCTGCCTGAAGCTGGAGTCTCCCAGCATGGCTTGGTCTCTCTTCTCCATGCTTGGGTAGAAGGTCTCAGTGTGCCCTTATTTCCTCTAAACTGACTCAGCACAGGCACAGGTTCAGTGGGCTCCCATGCTTTTCTTGTTTGGGAGAGTGATTCTGGAACCTTCCCTCAGCACCCTTGTCTGCATCCTGCCTCCACAGTGGTGTGCTTCCGAGGGTGAGACTGAGTCCCCTCATCCAGGGCGTCTGCTTTCTTTGCCCATTTCTACATGTCACTGAGTGCCTCTCACAGTGGAGTCAGAGCCTCCTGGACACGTAGGCTGCTCACATCAGCCACTCTACCTTCCCAAGAGCCACCGAGGCACAGGAAAGGCTCCTGAGCCAAAGAGGAGGCCTAGGGGTTCCCCACATTATAAGACCCAAGTGCCCTTCAGAACAGTTCAGAAAAGACAGCAGACAGCTGGGTGGTGGTGGCACACGCCTTTAATCCCAGCACTCGGGAGGCAGAGGCAAGAGGATCTCTGCAAGTTCAAGGCCTTCCTGGTCTACAAAGTGAGTTCCAGGACAGCAAGAACTGTTCCACAGAGAAACAGTGTCTCAGAGAGAGAGAGACAGAGACAGAGAGAGGAAGAAGGAAGGAAGGAAGGAAGGAAGGAAGGAGGAAAGGAAGTAAAGGCAGCAGAAGGATCACTCCTTGGGAACCCTGGTCCCTCATTTCTGCCCCTTGCTGACCGAGTTTGGGCAGGTGACATGACAGACAGCTGAGTCACCAGTGTCCCCAGGTCCTTGGGTTTGCCTTATTTGAAGGCTTGCTGTGTGCATGCTCAGGTTCTTTCTGCTGATGCCCCGACCCCTCTCACTGAGAAGGAGGTGTCCAAGAGGGAAAGAGAACCAGAGCCTGGAGTAGAAGTGGGGGCAGGAGAGACCGACAGGTCATGGCAACAGGCGGTCCATGGAAGGAGGAGCATGTCTCCAGAGCAGAGAAGTGAGACTTCAGAAACCAAGAAGGCTATCTTATTCTACCACACTGCCAGGACATCACGTATCTCCTCCATACCTGCTGTGTGCAGCGCCCTACCTAGACCAGCACATCTCACAATCCACGGTCCTGACGATCTCTAATGTTGCCCCCATTTCACAGAGGTGGAAACTGAGGCTCATGGAGTTGAAATCTCCTCCTTGAGGTACATCATTTAAACCCAACTCTGTGTGAGTCTGGAGGCCTGTCAGTGTAGTGGGAAGGTCTGGCCCTTCTCAAGCCCACTCAGAAGACTGACCCAACCCCCATCCCAGGTCTTTTGGGTCCCCAACGATTTGGAAAGCCCTGATGAAAGCAGATGGTGGGGACAGATGGAGGGGAAAGCATCTCGGGGGCTGAGTTACACAAACAAACATTGATAAAGTGATTAAAACCTCAAGCCACCCCTTTCCAGAAAACCCTGCCCACCCAGCTTAGAGCACAGGGAACTGTGACATGAGGTTCCGGGGGGATGGAGGGGTTGGGTCTCCCAGATGCCCTGGGTCTCAACCTCATTAATCCTAGTCCTGCCAGCTTCACTTGGTGCCAGGGACCACCCCCGGACTGGAGCCCAGGGTGGCAGTGCTTCAGAGGGCACAGCCCAGGAGGGGGCGGGGCAGGCCTGGCAGTTCCCCAGGGAGCTGGCCATGAGGAGGGGATGGCTGGGGAGGAGTGGGAAATCCAGCGCTCTGGGGCTGCAGGCCTGGAATCAGGACCAGCAGGGTGGGGGTGGGCATGCCGGATCTGGGGTCTCTCTGGGGAAGCCTCACTTGCCATGGGGGTGGGGCTCAGTCTACCCAGGTCACCCAGCTGCCCACTGAGCAAACTGAATCCTGGGCCTCTATCAGCTTAGTTTGGTTCTTTCCTCCGTGAGGGAGACAGCATCAGCGTCAGCCCTGGAAAGGTAGCTGTGAAGGCGAGGAGCAGCCACACGTGATGCCTAGGTGCCCTGCGCATGGCACAAGCACCTATGTACCTGCACAGAGTACCAAGATAGCAAGAGGCTGGGGCTGGCTGGTACAGCAGCCCTCTACAGAGCAGAGATTTGGGCCTGAACATTCTACTGCAACAACCTGTAGTTGTTGGGCTTAACAGTAGAGGCTGTGCGGACCCCCAAGAAAAACAGAGTTCCTGGGTCAAGGCAGCTGAAGCCAGTTTGGGGGGTGGGGCGATGCTAGCATTACCTCTTTAGACCTGCATTCAAATCCTGCATTGGCCCTTTTCCTAGTGACAGAAAGCTGGCAAAAAATAGTCCTCTGACCTTCTGGTTCCTTCTCTGTGAAACCAACATTTCCAGCTGCTTCCTGGACTCGCTCCCAGAAGCCCACAGACACCCCCGACTCAAGCCAGCCAGCAACCAGCTCATCGCTTTCCACCTCCAGCTCGCCAGGTCTCTGGGTCCTTCTCCGCCCCCAGCAAGCAAGCCTGAGACCCCGCCGTGTCCACCAGCCTCCCTCTGGCTGATCTTGTGTCTGCTGCCTCCTCAGGTCTAGTCCATTCTACAGAAGTGGGCAGGGTCTCTGCTTGCCTCTCAGACCTTCTCACAGCTCCCCCTACTGGGATCAGTTTCTCCAAGTCTGATTTAGCCCTCACTGCTAAATAACCTTCCAGGGGACAGGGACATCTGAGGCTCACACACCCACACCCTCCCACCCACCTTTGTAACTCCTTGCCAGTTCAGAACCTCTGTACCACATGACCAGCCCACCCCCCCAAAATGAAGGAGTCCCTGGCCCTCTCCCAGCCCTAATCTCTGCACATGGGATTGGATGTAGATGGGGGTGGCTGAAGTGACTCTGGCAGCTGGGGACTCATCCTAGCCAGCTCTTGTCCAATACAATAATTGCTCTTCCCTCTGCCACTGTGGGGGGGGGGGAACTACTCTTAGCCAGAGTGTGACAGTCCTTTGCCTGAGGTCACTCAGCTGGGCCAGCTGTCCCCCAGTCACAGCTTCAGATAGGGATCTGAAGAGATAGGATCAGGGCTGACTCAGAGGTTAAGAGCAATGATTGTTCTTCCAGAGGTCCTGAGTTCAATTCCCAGCAACTACATGGTGGCTCACAGCCACCTATAACGAGATTTGGTGCCCTCTTCTGGTGTGCAGGGATACATGGAGGCAGAAGGTTGTGTACATAATAAACAAGTCTAAAAAAAAAACAAACAAAAAACACCGGGATTATTCTTCATTCATGGCCTGGGAACTCCATCTCCCATCCTTTGCGGCTGTCTGCTCTGTCTCCCGCCAGCTCCCCACTGTCTTCCTGGGGACACAGCAAAGGCAATAGTCACTTACAGAAGTAGGGTAGAGACGGGAAGCTGCGTCCTCTAATTTTTTTTCTTGAGGCAGGCTCTCACTTTGTTAGTGAATTCATTGTAACCTCTTGCCTCAGCCTCTTAAGCCCTGGGATTATAAGCATGTGGTACCATTCCCAGCCTTTCCACCTCTGTAACGACACACATTTCTGTAGGAATGATTGACAGCCTGTGTGCAGAGCAAGGGAGATCTCAGTCAAGATAGGAGGAATCAAGCGCTGTTATAATTCCAAGACAGGGCTCATTATGTAGCTCTGGCTGTCCTGGAACTCACTATGGAGACCAGGCTGGATTCAAATTCACAGGGATCTCAAGTGCTGGAATTGAAGGTGTGTACCACCATGCCCAGTTAAGGTGCTGTGGGGTTGTTGTTGTTTTGTTTAAGTTTTAAAATGTATGTTGTGTATGTGTGTGATGTGTGTGGTGTGTGTGTGTGTGTGGTGTG